CGCAAGTACAAGATCGCTACCATCTAGAGAGAGCGACATGTGACAAACGATGTCCAAGACATGGAGATAGGGATAGGGCTGTTGAGTTTGATAGATTGACATTAAACAGAGTTCAATTTGCTTCAAAGTGCACGTGTCGACTTCTCTTCAGGGTGGATCATTGGCCACCCGACGCCAACGAAAGATTTACATACTTTTATCAAGTGATATACCTGGATTGTTTGGCCAGGGATCAAGATCTCTCAAACAACATCCCAACTGCGACTGGACGCAGGAAACCTTTTGTGGTTGAGAATTCAAGATCGCGAGACGGCTCAAGTGGTCAGAAGGCTCGCGAATCAAGGTGTACATTTGGACAAGGCGATCTGTTACAAATCAGGGTGACTCATATCGAGCACCTCACAAGCATACAAGTGATCGCGTGACGAATTCCACGTGATCACACCGACCCCGATCGTCGTGTGAAGATTTCCAAACCGTGATCGAGCCTCGACTTCATCGCAAACACGGTCAAAGTTTCCATTGACACGAGTCCACTGGAAGAGTGCAACCCGCCCCACCGACGAGTACACAAGGTGATAAAGACTATCAAGGACACGGAATCGGAGTACCCCCTCAGTTAGTCGGTCGTCCGGGCGCCAGTGGAGAGTTGGGATCGACTCCTTAAAAGAGCGATCACCACTCCACCACATATCTCGATCAGGAGACAGAGATTCGGCGGAACAAGCCGAAAGAGTCGGCGAGGTGAAGTGATGTACAGGTGGGGATATGAAATAGAATAAGTGCTTGGATCGAATGTGTAATTGTTCAACTGAAGTGAATTGCTGTACAAAGGACTTCAGTACAGGGAACGGTTGTGGTAAAGTCGCTAATCAAATTTTGGGTTGCGGATCGGTGTCCACCCAGTTGAAACGTCACTAACTGGAAGAAACGACACCGGATGATCAAGCGATCCAATGGGAGATGGAAGGCGATCCCAACAAGACTCAACGAGCCGATCCAACTATCGACGGAATGATGGACATGGAAAGATCTGAGACGAGGCGTGGAAAGGGATGATTTCCGTGGAACAATCTGGGACGAGGCGTAGAAAGGAAGGGTTTCAATGGATCAAACTGGAACGAGCCGCAGAAATCGAATATTTATATAAGGCGATCTGGGACAAAGGAAGGGATGAACTCAAGCGGACCGCTTGAATGTTGGTAAAGGACAAGAATGTGTGTGTTAAAGCAGGTGAAGACTGACAACTGTGGCAGAATTACTCTGGGAAAGGTGAAAATGGGACCAGGTGATGCAATGTGATCCTGTAAACAAGGTGCAATATCTTTCAGATCGGTGATATCCTTTACCGGTCTCACAATGGAAGTACTGATTTTGGTTAATGACAGCCCGATCTGGAAGTGTGAACACTTATGAGAGTCCAGAGAGCTAATTCAAGACGCGTGGATGGCCCCACTGATTCGATAAACCTTGAAGGATGGTATTGGAGCACACAAGATGAACGGGAGAATGTCTACTGTTGAAATATACTGTGTAGATCCTCAATTATCTCGAATTGGGCATCAGATTGGTCTTGTTCTATATGGATTACGGATATGTCGTTGATGGAGCCATCGGATCATGATGGATATGTGTGTGAAAGGTCCATGAGTGTAGTCTCATAAGTTCAGACCGATAGAGCCGGTGGAAGCCGGTTGAATTGACGTCGCAAAATGGATGTAGGCAAATTTGGCACTTAAGTGCTACTTCGGACCTTTTCGTACCTAAATTGGGAATTTGGTACCGTAATTGGGATTCGGTCCTTTTTGGTGTCTAGGTACGATATCGGGTATATTGACGCTATCTTTGGAGTACAGGTCATGACATTTCGACACGTGTTCAAGGGGGCGGTCAAGCTTAAAGGTGATATCGGTTTGGAGAGTGGCCTGCAGTTTGGAATAGGCTTATAGATAGGTTGGCTATTAATTTGGTTGGATAATAAACAGTTACCGTTTTTACAAATAAAGCACGTCGCAGACTTCTCTTCCGGGCAGGATATTTGGCCTTTCGTCGATCAAGAGACTTCGCCGCGCCGTGTTTCGTGTACTCACCTTGGATTGTTTGGCCAAGGTGGAATTAAGGTAACTCAGCTCAACTCAAACTGCTAAGGTAGCAGAAACAACGGTAAAGGAAATTGATTTTGGTTACAAGATCGCGAGACGTTTCAAGTGGTCAGAAAATCTGGACAGGGAGTCAAGACAAGATCGAGCAAGATCGAAGCGATCTACCGGACATATCAGCACGTCTCATTTCGGCGAAACAAGACACCGATCTGCCCACGTTGCGCACTTCCAGCAAGATCGAACGATCTCAAGACCAGATCGGACCGATCCCAAGGCAAGATCGACGCAGGGCTACTATTTGCTGAGTGAAGATTTCCGCGCAGCAAAGATCTCGATCCCGAAGACAAATCGAGATCGGTGTGATTTAATATCAAACTCGCGACATCTCCACAAAGTGAGCGTCGCGACTCAAGATCAAGATCGCAGAACCCTCGTTCGTGGTTCAAAGATTTTCGCACCGGAGGCAAACCCTCAACCAGATTTCTCAGCGAGAACGACATCTTCCAAGGCCGTTACGAAGAGCTCAAGCCAGCCCAACCGACGGGTGCACAAGATGAGCACAAGGTTACACAACAAGGCACGGATCAGAGTACCCCCTCCATGAGTCGGCAAGTCTGGGCAAGTGAAAGATCAAAACTCACGTCTGCGAATTTGTGAGATCGACTTTACCACAGTGCTTGAGGATCGGGATGGTTTCAATCTTGGCCTTCAATATGGTGAAAGTAATTGTAGCCTTCTACTGATTGTTACTTTTGTTTGGATCGCTTCATTTTCTTGGCCATATTGGGGTCGCGATCCTCTATAACCGTCTTTGTGATTGTTGTATCACCGGCATCCATTTGACCGATCTCAATTTTCTCGGTCTCCCTCAACAAGTACAGCACCGATGCGCAAAATACATATTCCTCGATAATTCTGATGTAGTAATTTGGCTAGACTAAAAATGACTGCATAGAACGCAACGACGTTGGGAGAGGAATATTTATTAGCATCTCCAGATCTTTATTGTGAGTATCTAACCCAGCTTCTGACACCTAGTGGTCCAGGTAATCTACTTACGCCGTCCCCAGAAACTTTTAGTCAAGCTGATCTACAGGCTCAATCGATTGCACACCGATGGCAATAATTTCTCCTTTAGTATGTAGAGCATCATGTAATGGATGGGATCCATAGCTAACCGATGTAAGATAGTCTGCCAAGCACTGACGGCGGTCGGTCTATCTCATCTTCTTCTTCCGTAAATCCGTCGACTTGAATTGACCCGTTGCGGGCTAATCCATGTTCCCACCAATCTTTAAGGATCCAGGCAAAGCGTTATCAATCAACCTCTGGTAAATATGTGGGACGTTCTTCGACCTGAACGGCATCCTTAATCACTAAAATAGACCTGACAAAATAATGAACGCATATAGCATCCTTGCCCGTTCGGTCATTTCCACCGCCCAAAATTTATTAGCCATATTTAAAGTGCAATCCCACCGTGATTTGACCATTGCTTGCAGCAGATCACTGATAAGCGGCATGGGGTATACCATCAGCCGTGTTAGCTGAATGACCCGCCTATAATCTAATGTGGGCGACTGAACCGCTATCCAACAGCCGCGTACAAAAGTGGCCACCTACCGCCATAGATACGAAACCCTGGATGCCTGACCCGTAGTCGTCCCCAACATCGTGGAGCATGGGTGAAGCGTCGCCTCCCACGCCATCGTTATCCGGCGTCGCGGGTCTACCCGACATGGGATCACTCAGCCCAGGCATGCGGTTCCTTTCCTGCGGAGGAACCGCAGCGCTGTGGACGGTGCCGTCGTCGCCAGTGTAGATAAGTTGTAGGGACCCTTCCTCGTGCAAAGATGAATAGTCGGCGTACTAAGTCGCAAATCGGAAACTTTGCTTTGAATCTATAGGAATCAGGTCGTGCATGAGCAGATCTTACCTATTGATTAAGGGCAGTGTACAAGAAACGATATGCTTTGGCCTTATGAAATTACGAGTGTTGTCGACATGGGAGCGCAGACGTTAATACAAAGGTGAAATGAATACGTTTGGGGCGATGTAATTAGAGCACAACACTCCTTCAAGAGCGTCACACCAAGTGGCGAGCCACGTACAAACACGGGATTAGTCAGCACTGATCTTACTAACCTGGCTATGGACATTCCAGACGTCTCGTACACAGTAAAACATTAAATAGACTGTCGGAGTCGCTCTCTCAGCTATAAATTAACTGATATCCGAAGGTTGTGGAATCGACATGTGTCATACTCGTTTTGTAAATATCATGTCGTTATATTCTTTTAGCTCATATAATCCTCGGCTTGACTTTTGTACATCTTTGTTGATCGGGTTCCAGTTAAGCAAGCCCTAGTCCATTTATCTTTTCTAACATATATGACAGAACTTTGTATCGATGCTGATCCACGCCATTTACATCCACTTTTGTTCAGCGGTATAGCTTTTTACGGTATCGATCACATCACTCGCTCGAACTCATGTATTATACGTTCGACTTTTCTGCGTGTGCTCAAGTTATATGTGTTGCTGTAGGTATTGACGTATATATTTATATCGTCCGTACCAATTGCCGATATGCTACAGAAAACCGCTTGACGGGCACCGCAAGCTGCGGGTTCTCACGTGTTGTTTTCATGATCACGTCGAAGATGCAGCGGATGATCGGTCGCTTATCGCAACTGAGAGTCCTGAAATGGTGTGTCTTGCACACGCACTTATGCTGACACTGTCGTCGAATAGCGCTCGAGAGCGTTCACTCGTGTGGTACACATTGCTTTCCAGTCAGGAACAGCTACAAAAAGCTCCTCGACCACGTGCGCACGTTCTCTACCGCGTCGACATGTGAGCGCATCTGGTCATCCCCACACTGTCCTTCCACTCGTTATGCCGTCTCCCACGCCACCTCTAAAAGATGTCGTCGGATCTCTGTCCTGCGTCGCACTGCCGCGTCTCCTACTGCTCTTTCTCGGCGTGTCGTGCGGCGCTTCCCTGGCGCTGGCCGTCGCTCTGGCCGGTGTCCGCTCGTCTGCACTCGTGCAATGGCTGCTACGAGCTCCCGGCGATCTGCTTCTTCAGGCGCTGGCAGGCCTCACGTTGCCGCTCGTGGCTCTGCACGCGACGCGCACGGGATCGCAGCTCCAGACGCGGCAGCTGCCGATTCTATGGACGCGACTGGCACTGGCGACGCCCGCAGCGTCAATGACAGCCGCGATGGTGCCAGTACTGTGGGCGCTCTGCTGGCCGCAGCACTGCATGGCGTCCTTCCGCGTAGCGCGGCCCTGGCGCAGGTGTGGGGACTGCCACTGTCAAGTACTGCAGTGGCGCTCAGGTGTCTTGAAAATGTGTCTAGTGAATCAGTGACACTACAGAGCATTGGATCGCTCGTGTGCTCTGCCAACGCCACGGCTTTCATGATCGACGATGTGGCACATACGTTTGTGGCTGGCGCAGTGACACAGAAAGCGCGGAGCGTGTCGGAGCAGGTGGTCACGATGGTGGAAAACGCTTTTCCAGAGAGCGCAGCAGACGCTGTCGTCGATGGAAATGTGCATGGTGTTATGGTGGGAGGTCTCGCGCTTGGTGCAGCGTTGGCTTGTTGCTCTACTTGTTGGTTGGAGAAACGACACGAAGTGACGAGAACGATGGATGTCGTCGCGTGGATGAAGAGTTCGAGTCAAAGGAAGAATTGATGATTTTGCAGCTGGTGAAACAAGCAGAAGCAGCAGGATGTCGCCTGCTAAGTTGGCTACAGACGCATCTTTCTATTGGTGTGATTTTCATGGTCAGCAGCGTATTGCCCCGACCATCAGTGCCTAAGCCCATAGCCGACAATGAAGAAGGCTTTACCGATTTGGCGCTTGTGACGGTGCTGCTCCTTGCTTTGGTGTTGGGCGTGGTTGTCATGATGGTCCTGGCTACACTGTTCTTTCGGTTTAACCCGTTCGCGTTCTTCGAGCACCTTTTGCTAGCACAACTGCTAGCCTTGAGCTCTGGATCATCTGTCGTTGCGCTGCCGGCAACGGTTTCGGCTATTGTAGCTAACAAGCGTGTGTCACCTTAGTGGCGTTCATTGTGTGCTGCACGAGCACAGTTCTCGGACAGACTGGCACCGCTCTGTACCTATCTCTCAGCACGCTTTTTGTGCTGTCTGCTTCTGCTTCGGGCATGAGCGAAGATGAACAGACCGCGTTACGGTCGACTAGCACAATCTGCGTGATGGTATTGGCGAATGTGATTGGCGCAAGCGTGACTTCGCTGCTACCGGGTAACGACAAGACGGCGGCGCTTGCGACAGCTTTTGGCGTTGTGTTTGGGGTTCCGACCGGACCAAGAGCTGTTTCGCTGTCGTACTTGGCTGCGACGGAACAGATCATTGCTCCTTTTGTAGCATGTGTGAATGTCACGAACAACGCGCTGATTGCGCTGGTGATTGCTTATTATTTCGAGGTCCGATCGGAGGCAAATAGAGCAGCGAGCAACGATGATAGCACCGGTGCTGTCATGCACCAGTTGCTACCGCTAGATCAATGCCAGCAAGGAGTGGTTGAAACGAGGCGAAGCGACAACCGAATATTTTGAACGTGCCGTGTGAGTCGTGGCTTGCATGTGTCGTGGCATCGGGACGATATTGTTTGTGTGTGTGGATGGCACAAAATGACATGTGGCAGAAATTTCGATACAGAGAACTTGCTGACGTTGGCCATTTTATTCGAATTGTCGATGTCAGCTACACGATATTGCTATAGACGTCGATCTGTGTGGTCTGGCACTAATAAGTAATGCGCCTGCAATCCGTTGGCCTTATGGTCGAAGCATTTCGGTAAATGACGACGGTAGTGTCACGATCGGCTGCAGCAACCAAAATCAGCTGATTGAATGAACTGAGTGAATGAGCTGCGATCAAGAGATTGCAACGATCAGCCAGGTGAACGACATTGCAGGTTAATTCTTGATGGACTTCGATGCTGCGTGACTGTTGTCCGGTGACGTCGACAAAGCTCTACTTGCCACAGATAAGTGTCGATAGATTGTGAGCAGGCTCTGCTTGGCAAAGCGCCGAGTCTCTCTGGATGACGGTCGTAGCCGGCTCGATCGGGTTTGTCGCCGAACAGATTCGAGCAGATGAAAAGAAGCACAGCCGTGTGTACGTGAGATAAGCAGGGCCGTATGTACGGTATCGATTGGGACTCGTTGAGGTCAAAATGCTGCTGAAGTGTTGCGGAGGTGCTGTTCATTTTCACGAGCGTCCCAGGCTAGATTGTCAAGCTTTGACGGTTGCTGGCAGTACACGCCTTGGTCCGTGCGATTGGCTAAGGTGTTGGTGCTTTTGGTATGGATGGCGCGTTGCAGCAGCGTCGTCTGATGCTATTTAGACCTTTGGGCAGTCGAGATGGTTCGGTCAGCAGTCGTGGCGAAACATCCTAGTTAGTTGTACGTTCCCTTGCGACCAGCTTGTGCATGAACGCTCGAGTGCAGCTCCGCCATCATAGACGGTCGGCTCCAATTATTGTCTTGGATTCTGCAGTGACCCGCAACATCGCTTCCTGCGTCCAGTGATACCCTCAGCGCTCATATAGCTTTTCACTTCGATGATTGATTCGACGGTTTGCCAGTGTGTTTGCATTGACATTGATCTGTTATTACTGCTTCAAGTGTGGTGTCAAGAGTGACTTGTTTGGCAGTTTACAACTTTGCAAGTGGGGAGTGAAGCACAAAGTTGTGTTCATCCAGCGATTGCAGTCGTGCTGGAGTGAGGTGTCGACTCGCTTGCTGCCCCGCACAAATGATGAAGACCGCTATTGACACGACGTACCGCATTATGACTGCATCATGAGTAGCAGAGTTAGGGAGGAGGTGATAAGCGTCTCGCCGTACGGACACGCACCAACGTCATATACCCTTATTATCTCCTGCTTTTCTGGACTGCGTGCTCGTGTGCGTCCATGTGTGGCTTGACCCTCAATATTACGTGACGATTGTGCCTGTCATGACACCTACCGATGGCGTATTGACATGTGCCGTGCATGATGAACAATTGACCGTGTGCTTGGGCATTACGAATCTGCAGTGATCTGATGCAGCGTCATTTCGGACGTGCTTGGACAGTCAGGATAGCACTAATGTCTCGTCGTACTTGTTCCTAGTGCAACTGCGACAGCGGTTGACACCTCATGCGTTTGTGGCTAAACACTTGTGTTTACATCTGCCATTTAGCGCACACTTTGGACCGGCCGGGTGAATTCTTGGGTCTTTGTGTATGTGGCCGCCACCAGAGGTAGGAGAAAGATGTACACCAATCCAGCAACAGTTGTTGGGATTGCCTCTGATGCTCGATTTGGCGCCACGCACCTCGACGAAACGACTGTGGCAGATGAACGAGAGTAAGCTTAGTGCCAATAGCATTTTGGTGGGACACGAGCACGAATTGCGTCCTTGCCATTGTTTCCTGTACGAGATCAACATTCGTTTCGATAGCGTGTATCATAGCTGTCCCTGCAATTGTACATATCGAAGTTGTCGTAGCTGCTTAGCGATCGCCACAAAATAGAATGCTAGTGCCGCGATCACTGAGAACGCGACAAGAGGCTGCGTAAGAACCACATCGTCTGTCGTGGACATCGTCAAGGCAAACGTGTTGGTGATCACATGCAACACGAGGCAAACGACGACGGAGCCAGAGACTGCAAATTTAAGCGCAGAAAGAGCCCCACGAGAGATGCCCAAAGCACCTGAAATGCCACGTAAGATGCCGAGTATTGTGCTCCTACGTGTCTCGCATTGGCCAGATGGACGGCAGCAAACATAGCAGCAGAGATCACAGCACTCCATCTGACACTTTGCAGCCGATTGATGGATACTAGCACCACCGCTCCTCGAAAAAAGAGCTCCTCCTTCATCGGTGCAAGCAGCAGCTTCTGTATGATTTCTGTCGAGGCAAGCAATCCGTTTGGCCGATACATTGCGTTTCTGACATTGGTCCATGACACTACAGCCGGTGACGTCGTTTGTTGCTGCAGCAGCACGAGCACGACTGTAGCCACAAAGTGCAGTGTCATCGATACGCTACAGGTCCTGATGCCGCTCCATCCAAACCCCGTGAATCTTCGCGCGAATTCTCGCTTGGACCGTCGAACGAAACAGCTCATGAAAGCCACAAGACCCCAGGCATACGCTACAGTCTCGCAGATCTGCTGGATGAAAGTGTTCTCCAACACTATATCCTTTGCAGCTGCAGCAAGTAACACGTGTAAGAGGCTGCACACTAGCACTCCGATCACGGAGCTAGCAAGTAGCAGCAGGAAAGCGCCACCGGTGACTAATGTCAGCTCCGGCACCAGCACAATGCATCGGATCACGACCAGAAAATCAGTCGGTGCCATAGGCTGCTTGGGAACGATTCCATCCGAGTCGAGTGTCTGGAGCGCCAAGACGCCGTTGGGTTTCGCACAGAGCCACCTCTAGTCGACCACTGCGTTCATTTGCCTTTACTCGACCAATTGGCTTTTTCTTTGCAAGTACGTTCGGACTACAGATCCGCGGATGGAGTACAAACGGTCGGAGCAAAGAGCGGTCTTGCTCAGAATGGCGTCACGACAGCTTATGGAACTGTTCTGCACATCCAGCAGTGCTTCTTGCTGTATTAGCAGCGTATACAGCTGCTATTGTCATTGCATCATTGATGTGCGACAAGCGCTTGCGTCCCATTTGATTGATCGTGACTGGAACAGCCAGGCACAAACTGCACACCGCGACCAGCGGATCGAGTTCTTGCCTTGCAGAGCCTCTAAGCTTTGACTGACTTTGCTGTACCGGGCGAGACTTACTGAACTTGAGACGTAGTACTGCCCCTCGCCCTGCTCGAGTCTCCTGGTAGCAGCGACCCACCAAACAGCGTAGCAGACTCTACGGTAACAACGAGCACTGCATTGCTTTTGCTTTACTCTTAACACGATGTAATGGGGATGCTGCTGAGTACATTGCAACAAGGTGGTTGTCTGTTAGTTGAAGAAATCGATAACGCGTCAACGAATGAGTGCGAACACAGGGCAAGTGCCGAAGTGGTCAGCCACTGCGTCGTATGTTGATCCGAC